ATTGAGAATTGATGCATATTTTCATTCTCGCAGATCTCGTAAGTTCAGACACACAAGACAAACCGGCAGAATGATTGATTGCAGGATTGTTGCGCGAGTCTGATTGGTTTCACACTTGGGTTCCCGGTCAGAAGTGCGTGAAGGTAACCGTTGGAGGTTTTGATTAACCACCGAATGTCTTTGAATGGGATAGGAGACGAGATTAAAGGTCATTGGTGTGGAGACACTCCGAATAGCTTACCGGCTAAGAGACGCATGTTGAATTTAACGCTGTTATTTGAGGTCGTAAATGGTGGTTTGGAAGAGATGTTACAGTGAAAATTGCACTTCGTATACTCCACTCTAGGACTCTGAATGTTACCTCATATATTCTGACTGCAGTGGCTGTGTTTTGTGAAACGTTTTGAGCTAGGATGGAGGCTGGCGTTCTAGAATCTTCTTGAAGGTAGGAGCCAATGCTGGCTTCCTTTATGACATCACTTCCCCCTCAGCATTCCGTTCTGTCCCGTCCAGCTGCATTGCACTTTACGCACCGGATCTTTGGAAGCTCCTGTAATGCCTCACAGTAAACGCTATATGCTAGATGCTAAAGGTCCTTTACTCGCCCTTTAATGGCCAATTATGTCTGAACTATAGCTTGGAAATGTAGTTTAAAGATTGTATTAAAAACATTTTGGTGAGATGTTTGGGTGAGACTGTTGTTGTGATGTCCCTCCTCGATATTTGAAATGTGAACGTCAGCTTCATGAATATTCAGTAATTTCCATTGGTTTCATTTGGGGTGGACGGGGTTTAGATTTATCTATAAATGCTACGACTGGGTGTATTTTTACATTTGTTTGTAATTTATTTACAATTTTTCTATATTTTTTTTTTGTGTGTTTTTTCAAAAGAGTTCTCTACGGCATTTATAAAGCAAATTAAGAGATATATATACGACTATGACATGAATATGTATATATTTCTTATGTTGAAGATCTTTGGTTTAGTTTCTTACGTGCTGAAGTTATTTTTTCAGAAATAACTATGAATATAAATGCAATATATGCAAGATGAAATGACTAATAAAATGTTTAACAAAGTGGCGAATGTGCATCGTACCTTCTACAGATGTCATTCATTTTAAGATGGGTAGGTTTTGGTTTGTTTCTCCTGTTTATTGGAGGATTTTGACGGTATGTTTGATTTCTTAATGTTTTAATATAACATTTAAGGTTTCATAAACTGTATTAAGTATTCCAAAGCATGATGGTACATAAACCTCCTATCATCCTAAATGTTCAAAACCAAAATGTTTAGCTCCTTAGTCAGTGTAGGTTTCTCTTACATTAACAATATTATTGACCCTTAAATGCACAAAAATGCAAAGATCCTTTAATCATTTTGTTACAGTCTATCCTGTCTATTGGGAAACAGTCTGAAGTTCTGAGTAATTAAAAACTTCTGATAGCATTGCAATGTAATACAAAACAAAAGGACACAGTTCCCAATAAAATAAATACAAATCTTTCAGGTTTGTAAAGCAACTCAAACTCTTCATTTCTTTTAATGGAGGGTGATTTAATCAATTTAAATGGAAGTGATAAACGTTACAGGACAAAGTTTTGTTTAATTCGTATCCAAAGAGTTTAAGAATCAATAAGATGTGACGCCGCACATCGCCCGCGACGACGATCATCGTGTCAGGACCGCTTCCCACGTATCGACGAGGACATGAAAGGTTCAGTAGGCTTTTTGCTTTAAATGAATGGTTATTGTCATGGTGTAAAGAACAGAAACTGCACTTTGTTAATAACTGGAATCTTTTCTGGGAGCGTCCTAGGCTTTTTCGTGCTGATGGCCTGCACCCCAGCAGAGTCGGAGCGGAGCTCATGTCGGACAACATCTCCAGGACGCTGCGCTCCATATGATAAAAGCGCTATATAAATAAAGGTGACTTGACTTGACTTGACCGGAAACTGTCTGAATGTCCAGCTGAACCGTTTTTTGTTTTTTCTTAGCAGGTCGTTGTTTTTGTTTTTTGACACTATAAGCACCAAATTAAAACGTGTGTTGTAACCTCACTGTTCTCATGCAGCTGTACGAACACCTGCAGCTGGGAATGAAGCTTATTTATTTAGTAGTAAAATGTTCATTTTAAAGTAAACCATTTTTTCCCCACACTCATTTTGAAAACTTTTAATGGTCCTACAAATATCATCCAGACATGTTCAAGTTTTGTGAGATTTACCTGAAGATCAAGTTTTTTTTTAAAGAAATTTGTTTTTTTAACCTGACTACCAGCTATGGAGTTTTGTCCACTGTAGAGGACATTGTTTTAGCGATTTCTCTGAGACGTTACATGTCACAGTTTTAAGTCTTTTCATAGCCGTTTCACATTCAGGGCTTTCCAGAGATACCAAATGATTGGATGTTTCACCATGACCACTCCCTCTCCTTGGTCTTTAAAAATGGCTGACATTCATTTAGTGATCAAATGTAACACCCTAATGGAAATCTGATAATATTTTGTAATTATCATTTAAATCTGACTAATTGACAAATTGTTTGCCATAAATCAACATCTCAGGGAAATGTTATGGGGTTTCAAATCAAAATATGACTTTCTGTTATGAAACAGGACGTCAATTTCATACCCACTGTATGTCCACTGTAGAGGACACCAGGACTTAAAGCATGTTTATTACACATTTTGGGAGACACAACAAATGAATAGAGAAAAAATTATATATCAATATTCCTATTAAATATTAGATATTATGAAAATCTTGCTAATTATTACTCCCATTATTGCACTTATTTGTTCATATGTTGCCCCAAAAACACATTAATATGCAAATTACACTGAACAAAATTATAAACGCAACACTTGTTTTTGCCCCCATTTTTCATGAGCTGAACTGAAAGATCTAAGACTTTTTCTATGTACACAAAAGGCCTATTTCTCTCAAATATTGTTTTTTTTAAAACAGGACTTTTTAAAGTCCCGATGTCCTCTACACTATGGCATAACATATGAATAAAATATTTTTCAAAAATGTTATTTTTCAAAATTTTTCTTATGCTCGCAACAATGTAATGACATGACAAAATACTAAATTCGCAAAAAAAAAAAAAATTCAGGATGCCAGAAAATTAAATGACACTGGAGGTAAATAAAAATAAAAAAAACACTAATGAAAAAAGTTAAATCACATTTGTCCGAAAGAAACAACCCCCATAAACGCAACACTTAGATGTTCATCTGCGTGAATGAAACTCATGATTAAGAGAGAAACATATAAAGAAAATACTTCTTTATATGTTCACAATTTTCTTCTTCATTGCATTTAATCAGCATCAGCTGAACTAATAAATGTTGAATGTTTTAGTATTTGCTGTCTTTCAGCACCACATGAACTAAACCTGATCATCGTTTTCCAACATGATTTGAAACATGGTTATTATTGTTAACTAAAACCATTTTTTTAAATGCTTTTTAGCAATATTTCTCATTTTAATTCAGTTTAACTTGATGTACTAACATAAACAAAAAATAATATAACCATTAATAAATGGTCCTACAAATAGTTTTTCTTTAAACATTTACATTTGGGGGTGAAATATGAACAAGACATGATCAAGTTATTTTTATACATTTATAAAAAGTAAAAAAAAATATAAAAGAAATCAACAAAATCTTCTACAATAAACAATCTCTTTCTCTGTAAAATATTTAGAAAATGAATGACATGAAATATAAACTGATTTCATATTCAACAATATATAAAAACACTCAAGTGTGAGGATGATTGTTACGTAACATCATACTGAGAATAATAACAATGAACCGACTCAATAAAGGAACACACACACACACACACACACACACACTCTCACACACGCGTGATGTCATCAGCAGCAGCCAATCACAGCGCAGATCCATCACGACCTCAGCAAGGTCAAATCACTGAGATCCAGCTTTATTAACATGCATGATATGGGATGCAGTCATAACATACTGGTTACACCAGAGGAAAGTGACTTTATAAAAACAACAGCACTCTTTAAAAAAACAGTTATTTTCAAAATGTGTTCATATATTGAAAGTTACATGTTTTAATAAAGACACAACCAAGTCAAAATGCTACATTTGAGTTTCATAGAGTCCAACGCAGAACTCGACGTCTTTTATATAACACATTATAACAAAAACTAAATTCACAATTCAGTTTCAATCACAAAATTGGCCTATAAAAACAAACACAAACAAACTTCATTTTGTACATTTTAAACACTGATTGACAGGAAAGGTTTGTGTGTTTGGTTTATAGAATGAAATCAAACAGGAGTAAAAAGAGTTTAAAACAACAAAACTATCAAAGAACGTGACAGATAAGAGTTTTTATCTCCATATATGGAAGAGGACACGCCCACTGCACAGCATCACCATGACAACAGCATGCACTAACGACTCGTCAATATACAATAGATTCACTTCAAACCCGTTGAAAATAAACAATCTTGATGACTTATGACAGTTTTTATAATGCAGTATATATGTGTGTGTGTGTGTGTATATATGTTATAACTATTATATACTACAACAGTGAAATGTATAGATTTTAGATGGTTATTTTGTTGACATTATCTATATAGTTATTGTAAAAAAACATGATCTGTAAAAAACACATATATAACACTTTGTGGTGTTCATTCATTTTTTTGAGCACTGAAAACAAACCATGATAAGTGTAATCTATCAAAATCCATAAACACTGGAAGCACATTATTACTTCTGCGTTTTTAAATACACTAAACGTCAGGAAAACCGGCGATAAACGTGAGACTCTAGTGCTGCTTACGCTAATGTCATCGACTGGAATAAATCACGCTCACGCCACAATGGTTTTACCAATGCAACAATTTATCTAAAAATGCATTATTATTATTATTATAATAATTAATTAAAAATGCAAAAATGAATCCGCCATTGGTAAGAATAAAAAAAAAAAAAGTTTTTTTTACATAGAAATTCATTACGCTTGTGTTTTAACGGATGCTGAGCTGCCCGAATAAAAAATAGTTTTAAATAAATAAATAAAAAACACTCATCAGAAACATCTAATCTGAGGTAAAGATGCATCACACATTATTCCCCTGGATTAAACCCTGAAAACAAACCAGATCCAGTTGATCAGTCACTCACAGTTAAACTCCAGCGCAGACGCTCGCATTACAATAAGCGCCCGCTTAACTGCCGTGAAGATGCGTTTGAACGAAGCACAGTCGCTATAGAGTTAATCTGCATGACAGAAGTGTCGCTTTTCACATGGTAAGGTCATTCTGGAAGAACGACGACACTAGCTGACGGATACAAGCGTATATTTACAGACTCCGCCTTCACAGACCGTCTGATTCGCACTTGCTCTTCAAGTGCACTCGCTTTCGTGGAATAAAGAAAATAATCGCTTCATATCGAGAGTCATGCACTTGTTTTCTGCGAAAAACCTCTCGTACACAAACATAAGACGACGCGTCAAGTGCAAAAAACAGGCTTAAAACTAGCTGAAAATAGTCTTGTGAAAAAAAAAAAAGTCACGTTTTTTTCACGGTCAAGATTGAACGCTAGCTGTGCGACTTCTCCATTCGGCCACTTTATCTCGTCTTCATACCGAATGAGAGGGCAGAATATGAGGTATGAGGAGGTCAAAGGTTATGTTGTGTTATCATGTGTTTTGTGTCTTCTAGCCCCTTCAAACATCCTCTTAAAAACACGACCTCCCGCTCGGCGCCGCATTATACCCACAATCCCCGGCTGTGTAACTGCGGTGTGAATTATAAGGGAGACTGAAGCGTGTCCCTCACAGTAAGCCGTATTTGGCCTCGTACAGCAGCATGATCTTCTTGCAGCGGCCGCAGTCTTTGCGCAGCTCGGCCACTTCCTGTCTCAGCGCGGCGTTCTCCCGCTCCAGGAAGGAGGAGCGGACGGCGATCTGGTTCTCTTTCAGACGCCGGGCATCTCGCGAGCGCTTCGCCGCCATGTTGTTCTTCTTCCTCCACGACCAATACTTCTCATCCTGCAGAGAAACGCAAGCATCTCATTAATGAAGCCGCTAAAACATGCTTTAGCTTTAACTTTACGTTTCATGTCGTAACATTTACAAAAACATACGCTAACTGTATTACGAGAAAGCATCAGCGATTACATTTTAAATTTAAATTCATGTGCAATACAGCGTGTCCATCTGCATTTTCAGCAGCCTTGGTTCCCGAAGTATTTACTTTTTTCCTATAATGATTTTAAAAAGTATTTGTTAAAGCATTATAAAGCAATAAGCCCCAAGATGCCATGGTTTACAGTGAATTTATAACAGCTAAGGGGCGTGTTATAACAGCTAAACCACCTTAGCTGTTATAAATTCACTGTAAACCACGGCTTCATGGGGCTTATTGCTTTTATAAAACGGTTATTCCATATACGTAGTAAGGTTTCACAAAATAAAACAGAGCAAATAAAGTGTAATGATAATGCCGTGGTTCCAACAAAGTGGTTGCCGAGCAACAGACAAACGTGAACAAAGGTGTGTGTTTGTAGAGTAATTTACAACAGCTTCGAACGCAGCTCAGCCAATCAGAATCAAGGACCAGAACTATCCATTTTATAATAAGCCATAATCCATATCAACCAGCTACAATGAGCATCACAACATTACAAACTTAGTTTTTTGGTCTGACTTTCAAATAATTCTATGCTTCAAATCAATGATAAAAGGAATTATTTACAATGCCATTAAGTATTTCAAGCAATGTAATAAAATATAAAAATAGCTAATTGCTGAAGTTGTTTGTTTTGAGAATAGAATCAATGTAGTTGAGGTTTATTGTATAAGATGTATACACATATTAGTGTTATTTTAGCATCATTGATATAATATTATAATTTTCATTAATATTTTAAATAAATTTTTATACATTTTAATTTTACTTTTTTATTTTGTTGCGTTTTTTTCCATTATTATTAAAATAGATCTATATAGTTTTCTATTCATTTTATTTACATTTTAGTTATTTTTGTACTACATGTTAAACTTCAGAAAAATTAGAAATGTTTCCTTGGCAACTAGCTGAAATAAAATAAGCTTTTAAAATATTTGATTTAATTTAACGTTTATTCCACTTGAAGTAACAAAAATATTTTTTTTAGATAATGATAATAATTAACCTAATTTTCCCAATTCATGTTTCAGGTCTTATTGTGAATAATTCATCGGTGTGCATTATTCAAACAAATAAATTAATTAATGAAATTAAAAAATAAAAACAATTATGATATGATCCATATTGGTACCAAATACCAACTTTACATTATCAAATCAGTTTGTGATGGATAAAAAGTCCTGCTCTACATTTTTTTGTCCAGTTTATCTGGAAAAGTCACATAGCACAAGTAAAATGGACTGCAAAGAGTACTTCATGTTGACTTCAAGACGACGGATCAATTAGAAGAAGCTGACAAACAACTAAAGTTCATCCAGTGATCAGCAGCATGACAGTATGAGCTGCTAGTATGATTGCTAAATAGCAGCATGTTAACTTAGAAGAATCAAATTTGTATTCATTATCATTAAAATACATTTCCTGGATGATGAACGACAGGCCCGGGTGTCCAAACGTGTCACGAGAGCCACAGGTTTGCGACCATATTACTGTTTTCTGATGTTTCTGTTCATAAACTCATTCTGAATGACTGAATATTTTCGGTAAGTTCTCAAAGGGTTCAGTCTCACCTTCGCCTCTTCAAGAACAAACACTTTCTTGGCTTTCTTGATCATGGGCTGTGGTTTGAGCTCGTCCACAGAGAAGCGATGTTTCCGTGGATTGAAGAGCTCTCCTCCGGGAACGCTGGACAGCACCAGATCTGTGGGATCCGGCTGGAAGGCCACGCTCACCTCGATCTCCTCTGGGTCGATCGGAGTGGGTGTCACACGGTCGGGGCCGGCTTTGGCTTCTAGGAAGGTAAAAACAGAGCGATGTACAGCTGCTCTAATATAACCATCAGATTAAACACATGACTAGGGTTGCACGATAAATCAAAATGAAATCGAGATCGCGATTCGACAGAAGCTGCGATTGTCATGCGTATCTTTCAGTGAAGCACGGTTCTGTGATCAGCAGTAAATCTCCATCCAAAGGCCAGAGGGCGCTCTCGTGCTGAAACTCCAAATACGCCTCGCAGAAGAAACCCAGAAAATGCCTAGAGTAAAAATATGTTATTAAATTTGGTATTTTCACATGCTTTGAGATGGAGCAGCATTTACTTCACAGAGCCATAGTTCGCTGAGAAGCTATGCAAACAGCTGTCATTATCGCGAACGATTTCATAATCGCGCAATAAAATCGTCTGTGATTTTCATGACCAGAGTAAATAACTGTGCCCTGACAGCATACAATCCTCATGTTCACTCTCAGTACGACATTTCAGTGTGAATGAACCTGATGAAGATTCGTCAGACAGCAGAAACCAACATCAGTCAGTCAACAGGTCAAACTAACTACCAGCTGCTAGTTGAATTTCTGCTGGTTTAACTGTGTTTTGACTGGTAAGTGAATGGTTTGTAGGTTCAAACCGCATGGATTGATGTAGAGATGAGCGCTTATATTACAGTAACAACTACAAAATGTTTCAAGATAAAGTACCTTGTGTTAATACCTATTTTTAGATAAACCAGATAATAAAGCAATAAGCCCCGTGAAGACGTGGTTTACAGTGAATTTATAACAGCTAAGGGGTGTTGTTAGGAACGATGCGAAGCGGAGCTGTTATAAATTCACTGTAAACCACGGCTTCACGGGGCTTATTGCTTTTATAAAACGGTTATTCCATATACATAGTAAGGTTTCACACAATAAAACAGAGCAAATAAAGTGTAATGATATAAACAAAAACAGTATTCTTCCACCAAACAATGTAGTTCCTCAGAAACAGTTGTGGTTCCAACAAAGTGGTTGCCGAGCAACACAAATGTAAACAAAAGGTGTATGTTTGTAGAGTAATTTACAACAGCTTCGAACGTGGCTCAACCAATCAGAATCAAGGACCGGAACTATCCATTTTATAATTCATATTTTAATTTTCTCTTTTTATTTGGATCTTGATGGAGTTTTTTTTGTTTTGTTTTTTCACCATGGAATACAAAAGTAATTACAACTTTTTATCTCACAATTCTGTTTTTTTTTTTCTTTAAGCCACAGAAAAAAATAAATTGTAATTATGAATTTTTATCCCGCAATTCTGACTTTTTTTTTCTCAGAACTGCCAGTTTATATATTGGAATTCTGAGTTTATATCTTACAATTCTGACTTTTTTTTTCTTGAAATTCTGAGTTCATATCTCGGAATTCAGAATTTTTTTTCTCAGAATTTCCGAGTTTGCTTCTCAAAATTCTCTTTTTCATGCCACGGAATAAAAACAAATACAGTAATTGCAAAATTTTTATCTCAATTCTGAATTCTGACCAAATTTGAGATGTAAACTCATATTTGCAAGCAAAAACGTCTTTTTTTTTTAATTCTGTGGTAGATATAAGCTTCTTTAGAAATCATATTTTGACAAACTGTATGAGACACATTTAAAGCGGATTCCTGTGACACACATCAGATTAGGTCTACAGTAGATCAATACAGCGAGTTGTGATGTTACTCAATGACCAAAAACAACTAAACTACACACAAGCTCTTCCTCACCTTGATCAGAGACGCGTCTGTTCTTTACCATTACTGCACGCTTTGTGTCACATGTAACGAGAAGCAGTCATGCAGACTTAAAAAACACACATATAAACCTGTAAACAGAGCATGTTACCGGCCTCCTAATGTGAAGCGTTCGCTCATGTTGCTGACCTCAAGGTTGCAGCTTTAACAAATGATTCATGGGAGTTATTTGACAAAAACCCGGTCAAATGTGGAGGTGTACTAAAGACATCTACAGACCTTCTACCATGTCCAACAATTTTAACCTCCACATCACCCATCCCAAACATCTGCTATCGAAAAACAGTATTTGTGAAGCTGCTTTGAAACCAGTTATTCGAGCTACAGTCTCTAGTTGATCAAAAACAATGAAACGTGCTTGTATGTCTCACCTGCTGTCGTCTCAATGTTCACAGTGAGCGAGTCGTCCTCAGACTCTTCGTCGTCCTCGTGTTCCTCCTCAGGCATCTGCGGGACGGTCGCCGGCTCGTCGGAGGGTGCAGATAAAGCCTGTGTGTCTCCGGCTCGCGGACACTTGCTCAGCTCCTCCTCCAATGTGATGGGAATCTCGTTCTCCAGCAGGAACTCGTCCAGGTCCATGTACTCCAGGTGGAAGGTCTCGCCGTCATACGGGATAGTTTTGTCCCAGATGGCGGGGGTGAGAGAGGCCGAGACGCTCCCCGTGCCCCCCGAACCACCGCCGCCGCCTGACGTCCCATCGCAGGTCGAACCCTGTTTCTCCTTCTCGATATCTGTCAAATATCGTAGTAGGTAGGTAGTAGAAATTTCAATGCCAGCTAGAGTAAGCTTACACATTTCCTGCCAGTTACATGGGAGTTTCATAAATGCAATAAAATAAAACCAAACAAGATAAAAGAGAAAATACAATACATTAAAATCAAAACAAGATGCTTTAAATTTACATATTTTACATAAAGTAGCAAGTGAAATTAGTTTTTATAAAACAGAGAGTTCCGGTCCTTGATTCTGATTGGTTGAGCCAAGTTCTAAGCTGTTGTAAATTACTCTACAAACATACACCTTTGTTTACTTCTGTGTGTTGCTCGGCAACGACTTTGTTGCAACCACGACTGTTTCTAAGGAACTACACTGTTTGGTGGAAGAATACTGTTTTTATTTATATCATTACACTTTATGTGCTCGGTTTTATTTTGTGAAACCTAACTACGTATATGGAATAACCGTTTTATAAAAGCAATAAGCCCCGTGAAGCCGTGGTTTACAGTGAATTTATAACAGCTAAGGGGTGTTGTTAGGCATGACGCGAAACTAAAGCAATAAAGAAGCCGTGGTTTACAGTGAATTTATAACAGCTAAGGGGTGTTGTTAGGCATGACGCGAAACTAAAGCAATAAAGAAGCCGTGGTTTACAGTGAATTTATAACAGCTAAGGGGTGTTGTTAGGCATGACGCGAAACTAAAGCAATAAAGAAGCCGTGGTTTACAGTGAATTTATAACAGCTAAGGGGTGTTGTTAGGCATGACGCGAAACTAAAGCAATAAAGAAGCCGTGGTTTACAGTGAATTTATAACAGCTAAGGAGTGTTGTTAGGCATGACGCTTTCGCGTCATGCCTAACAACACCCCTTAGCTGTTATAAATTCACTGTAAACCATGGCTTCGCGGGGCTTATTGCTTTTATAAAACGGTTATTCCATATACGTAGTTAGGTTTCACAAAATAAAACAGAGCAAATAAAGTGTAATGATATAATAAAAACAGTATTCTTCCACCAAACAATGTAGTTCCTCAGAAACAGTTGTGGTTGCAACAAAGTGGCTGCCAAGCAACACACAAAATAAACAAAGGTGTATGTTTGTAGAGTAATTTACAACAGCTTCGAACGTGGCTCAACCAATCAGAATCAAGGACCGGAACTCTCTGTTTTGTACTTGTACAACTAAAATAGCTTCTCATTCAATCAAATCAGCCTTGATTGACTTGCATTATTTACTGCTGTTCGCCATTTTCCAAATTTGTGTTTGCTCATAGTTTTGGGTAGTAGCTAGTCGATCTAACCAACGCCAAAATAGGTATATATAAGAAAAACAGAGAAGAAAAGAAAAGAAGAAAAATGTCAAGACTTACCTTTTTCATGTCCAGATGATGCATTCAACACTATGGAGAAATGCTGCATCTGTGAGTTTCTCTTCTGAGAAGGCCATTGATGTATTTTGGCTATATATGCTGGAGGAGACCAATGTTTCCAGGAAACACTCAATGTGATCACTTCCCACATATTTAATGCTATCTGAACAATCATTGGGCTAAAAAAATTTTTTTAAATAAGAATTAAAAAACAAACAAAAAACACTATAGTTCAAAATGTTTGGGTTAGTAAGATCAGTAATAGCTACTTCATGGATGCATTACATTGATCACATAGTGATAGTAAAGACTTTTACATTGTTACACATTCTATCTACAATAAATGTTTATTTTAACTTTCTAAGTAAAATCCGTCTCGCGGACACTTTCTCAGCTCCTCCTCCAATGTGATGGGAATCTCGTTCTCCAGCAGGAACTCGTCCAGGTCCATGTACTCCAGGTGGAAGGTCTCGCCGTCATACGGGATAGTTTTGTCCCAGATGGCGGGGGTGAGAGAGGCCGAGACGCTCCCCGTGCCCCCCGAACCACCGCCGCCGCCTGACGTCCCATCGCAGGTCGAACCCTGTTTCTCCTTCTCGATATCTGTCAAATATCGTAGTAGGTAGGTAGTAGAAATTTCAATGCCAGCTAGAGTAAGCTTACACATTTCCTGCCAGTTACATGGGAGTTTCATAAATGCAATAAAATAAAACCAAACAAGATAAAAGAGAAAATACAATACATTAAAATCAAAACAAGATGCTTTAAATTTACATATTTTACATAAAGTAGCAAGTGAAATTAGTTTTTATAAAACAGAGAGTTCCGGTCCTTGATTCTGATTGGTTGAGCCAAGTTCTAAGCTGTTGTAAATTACTCTACAAACATACACCTTTGTTTACTTCTGTGTGTTGCTCGGCAACGACTTTGTTGCAACCACGACTGTTTCTAAGGAACTACACTGTTTGGTGGAAGAATACTGTTTTTATTTATATCATTACACTTTATGTGCTCGGTTTTATTTTGTGAAACCTAACTACGTATATGGAATAACCGTTTTATAAAAGCAATAAGCCCCGTGAAGCCGTGGTTTACAGTGAATTTATAACAGCTAAGGGGCGTACCTAACAATGTAATATATAATCTCTTAATTTTTCCTCTTGGTTTCGATGTGAACTTGGAGCCGAACATGTTCTTGACAGGTTTTGTGAAATTCAGACCTTCAGACACCCAACTTCACTCTAATTTTCTGCAGTATAAATAAACTGTTCGCATGGCACATATTAGTTCGTCTAGCTGTGTTAGTTATTGGTTTAAAAGTCAGAAAGGATGAGAAAAGAGTTTAACGGATTGGCAAGCCAAGAGATGCCCTAATGTGGGTCATTATAACGCAAGATGATTACAATATTATTAAAAATGTCCATAAAGGGCAGGTCAGTCTTTAACATGGTAAGAGGACCAAGATGGACACACTGTATGTCTATAAAACGTGATAAATAACTAAAATACTCTCTTCAATGCCAGCACGAATATAACTGACAAATCTACAGATCCTGAATGAGTTTAACTTTACAGAAGAGAAGAAAACACTAGCATTAGTGTACCATATTACAACCACGGTTCTTCTCCATTATTAATATGATTATGATTTAGCAGACACTTTAGAAATCTTCACTGAGGTCCCATGTAAATGCACCATATGCAATGAATCAGGTAAATTGTTCCTAAACATTTTGACCAATACATTTCCAGGAACTCCACATTATATTAATGGTGTTTATATATAATTCTTGTACCATGGTATTTTTATGGTACACAAAGGTTGTTCAAAAAATACCATGGTACTTCCACACAGTACATGCCAAAGTAACCACAGTATTACCATGGTACTTTTGCATCGTCTGATACATAATTTCACCATTGTTTTTAGGATGTTAGCCATTCTACAGGTGTTAACACTAAACACAACTTCTTCAATTCGAGGTTCTTTTCTAAAGCAATGCACAGATACAGGTAGACACGTGTATCGTGGTATTTTTGAAGTAACCACCGTGCAAAAACGTAAATATATTAACATGCATGCATCGTCGATTAAGCAGCACTTTTTGTCTGCGGGAACGTTCTGTTCTTTTGAGCGACCAATGAGCGCGCAGCTGGAGGTGACGCGAGCGCACGACTACTGAACGGAACGCTTTGAACGTGTCGAGTTGCGTTTTGGCAGGTTTATGGTTCTTACCGTCGTCTTGATCCTCCAGTATGTTCGGAGGAGGAATATTCATGATCTTCTTCAAAACAAAAGCGGACGACTTCTGCGAGTCGATGGCCACCGTCACCGACGCCTGTCCGGGCATGATTAGCGCGATATTATCCGAGAAAATACACAAACGTCGCTTGTATCTGTCAATCCTCCCGTTTCTGTTTGAGAAAACACACAGCGCCGTAGCGACTCCACTCCAGTGTACTGCGATAAGCACTCACATATTCATGAGGAACGCGCTGATTGGTGATCTCGCCAACGGCTCATGAATATTTAAACAGGCCGGGGCGGATTCTCGCTCTCTGATTGGTCAACTGTTAATGCAGCGCTACAATAATGAGCGGGATGAAGCGGACGAGCCTCTTTGTTCAGAAAACAATCGAAGAATGTCATTAATGACCCTGAAAACGGAAAACAGTCGAAATCGACGTAACATTTGGATTTATTAACTGTAAATGCATTGAAAAGGGCAAATGAATTGTTACTCTCTTATATTTACACAAGTTAAGGCTAAGATATGCGATTTTTAAGTTAACTTCACAGTACATTAAAACATAACTATTAAACACAACAAGGCCCGGTTTCACAAACGGGGCTTAGCTTAAGCCAGGACTAGGCCTTAGTTAAATGAAGATATTTAAGCAACTTTTACAAAAATGCCTTAGAAGAAAACATTACAGGTGTGCATCTTGACACAGAACAATGACACTGACATATTTTAAGATATGCCAGAGCAAGATATTTTCAGTTGAGACAGCTCAAACATGCATTTTAGTCTGGGACTAGCTTAAAGGGATAGTTCAACCAAAAATGAAAATTCTGTCATCATTTACTCACCCTCATGTCAGTTCCAAACCTGTATGAGTTACTTTCTTATGTTGAACATAAAAGAAGATATTTTGAAGATTGCTGGTAATCAAACAGTTGGTGGTTGCCATTGACTTCCATAGTAGGAAAAAAAAAAATACTATGGAAGTCAATGGCAACCACCAACTGTTTATCCTCAAATAAAAAAAGTGCTTGGGGCTATTTATTAGATGTCTACTAATAAGAATTTTAAGTTATATAATTTTTTCATTAGCTCCTTTTCGGGGTGAAATTTAAAGGGATAAGATTTTGTGTTCCAATGATATATCAAAATACTTAAAGGGGTCATATGATGCGATTTCAAGTTTTCCTTTCTCTTTGGAGTGTTACAAGCTCTTGGTGCATAAAGAAGATCTGTAAAGTTGCAAAGACTAAAGTCTCAAATCCAGAGATATTCTTTATAAAAGTTAAGAGTCAACCACGCCTACCTAAAACGGCTCGTTCTAACACGCCCCCACATATCTACGTCACTATGTGGAAATATTAGCATAATGCCGCCCAAATGTGCACGCAAAGAAAGAAGGCGTGGTTTCAGGAACAGCA